TACACTATTACTGTAATATTTACACTTACCCATGTCCAAATGGATCCTTGTTGTTGTCTTTGTATTCTTCTTCTTCAGAAGAGTTGAAGACTTCAGGTTCTGAGGCTCTATCTTCACTGCTGCTAGCGAAAAAAATCTCTAGCGAAGTCGGCAAAAAGTTTTTTTTAGCCATTTTCTCATGCATTTTCTCTGTCTCTCTCTCTCTCATGCGGCTTTCACACCAGCGCTTTTCCCTTTCTAGCTCCGAGCTAGAGCTTTTCTGGTTCAGCTCCGGTTTCCCTTTTCTGCTCCCGCTCTGTTCACACCGCCCAGCACCCGACTGGTGCTGCCGCTGCTGCGTCATGACGTCACCGTTTACATCGCTGATTTGCTCCCCAACGGCATTACGGCGCTCACAACAACGGGGAACTGCGTCGGGTCGATGATCGTGTTGCTTTTAATCACACGAAGCCAGAATAAATTGAATAACGACTTCTCCAACCTTATACTTTGCTCCAGAGTGCCGTGGTTTATTGTTTATTAATGTGTTTCTGCAGCATTTACCGACCGCTGCAGTGTTGGCTGCTCTTCTACGGGAGTTTATTCTCCTCCGTTAGCTCCCGGTTAGCTCACACTGCAGCGGCCGCTCTAAAGTATTCACTGTCCGACTCACACAAGCAGCTGATACATATCCCCAGTTCCCCTTAGCCTAAGTCAGGGGTACTCAAATACAAATCTTAAAGGTCCAAAATAAATGTTTCAATAAGACAAAGGTCCGTTTATTACGGTCATTCAAACTTTTAAACAATTGCAACAAGATTCTTAACACGAGGTTACAAAAACAAAATGAATCTGTATGCAGCAGTTTTCATTGTTATTGTGTCTGTGCTTGATCCCTCAGAGTTGCAGTGTAAGAGCTGCACAGTTATGAATAAAGGCAGCTGCACCCTTTTTCATTCAGCATTCCCATTATTGCTTTATAAATGTCTTGCCCCCTTGTGTGTCCACTGAGGTTCGTCAGGCCCAACACATCTTCAACAAACTCCCCCTTTGCCTCATCATAAAAACTCACAAACACCAGCAACTGAGCATTGTCAGTGGTGTCAGTGGAAATGCACTGTGCATTTTTTATTCCATCACAAAGCTGATGAATCAAATCACCAGCCAGTATTTATGTTCTTCTGGTTGCTGTGGAATCTGAGAGGGGGATTTGCTTGATTTTACCTGTTATTTCCTCTTTTTGTTTGCCTTCAACATGGTCTCCATCACTTCAGTCATGCATTCTTTTATACTGCAGTTATTATCCAGTGGAAAGTCCTTACCTACTGGCCTAGTTCAATCAAAGTGGTTACTTTTTTTTGGCTGGGCAGTGTAGTTTTACACACCGTCTTATTTGACTTTCTCAGGACTTAAAACAGTTTTTTGGGGGCAGACCCCCTCAAAGAAAAAAATATATTTACACACGTAAGGTCATCATCTTAATAGTAGTGTATGCTCATCCGTGAGCAGAGCATCAAGTTGACATGTCTATTACAGCTGAATGCGGCGATTACCATTTTGTTCAGCAAAACGCCTCACAAACGTATTAAGATCAACAGCTTTAGTGCGTTTTGATTCAATGCTGAGTACAGCCACACTGACAGTCTCTTCTCTGTCAGTGTAGACCGCAAATACCTCATTCCTTCAGTGCTTGGGTCCGAATGCTTCTCGTTTTGCGCCGTCCAGTTCAAAATGAAATCGCCGCCAATCGTATGTCCACGCTCGCGCCAGGACCGGGGTTACATGACGTGCATCTTGTGCTGCATTCACTTGCACTCGGACATTAGAGACTTTCTCTCATAAATGTCCGATGAGCCACAACTTTTCTTTCAAAACAAAGCTGCCAACTGGGGTGGCAGCTGGGGTGGCAAGGCCTATTTTTAGGGTGTCAATTGCCACCTCGGTAGTTGAAACTAGGCTACTAGCTACAGTACAGATGGAACTAGATGAGCTGTTAACTCTCGCTCTGAATCTTTTTTTTTTTAAATTCTCGCTCTGACTTAGACAGGTTGAAAGAGACACACACATTTTTCCCACCCGCATTCCGCGAAGACCCGCCCTACTGTGCCTCTGATTCGCAGATTGTTTGGGGGGGGGAAACGCTGACTGGATGCTGAATGTGATTGGACCAAAGCGTTGACACACACAGGTGGAACACAGTGGAACAGTCAGACATGCAGAGCGCTGTTTGCAGTGGACATAGCGGAGAATTTTGACTCGTTGTGAATGCGTTGTGGCGATGTCTCACATATAATACAGAGAGATAATACATATGAAAAGTATAATTTGCTCAGAGTCCGGAGACAGTGGTGGTTCGGTCCGGATCCGGACCGGAGTCCGTAGTTTGAGGATGCCTGGCCTAAGTGAATGTGTGTCAGTCTGAATTGACGCTTTTTGGTATCACAACGCTGTTATGAAAGTTTCTCTGGTATAAAATGGGGTGATGTTAGCATAGCAACCGAAGCTAAACTGACTACTTGCTATTGCTATCCTATAGCTTGGTTTCACGTGACGTCACACCGTTGCGTTCCTTTGGCGCGAAATTCCATTGGAGGTCAGGAAGTAATTTTCTACAGAGGATGCTGCTGTTACCATTGTGAAAATGCCGGTGTGTTGTGTAGTTTACGGTTGTTCCAATCGATCCGGCCGAGAGAAAAACAAGAGGTTTTACCGAGTGCCGAAGGTTGTCGTCCATAAAGCTGAGCAATTTAAGAAGCTAACCGAAGAACGCCGGAAAAAATGGCTTTCAAACCTACATCTGCGGTCGGGAGGAGCAGAGTCGTCTAATGCACGGGTCTGCAGCGACCACTTCATCAGAGGTATTAGCTAACTTGGTTTTTGTGGCTTTGTTTAGGTATTATTGGGTTGTGGTTAAATGCGTATTTACTTAGTAATACTGATCATGTTTAAGTTACCTGTAGTCTAATATGGACTTTGTTGGGACTTTTTAGGGTGCCCTAGCGCTTTGGGTGACGTTGAGTCGGTAGACTAGGCTCCCACTGTTAGCCTTGGTTACCACACAGCAAGTAAGCCCAGATCAGAGGCATCTCTTCGACGAGAGCAGAGGATGGAGCTCAAGGAAGACCAACAAAGACAATCAGAATGTGCAGAGGCTTTGTTGGATCTCCTGCAGACAACCGAGAGCCCAGAACCGACGCAGCCCCCGTCTGACAGCCCACAACCAGAGGACACCAGTGGGATATTAAATGACCAACAAGGTAAATTAACCACCAGCATTATTATTAAATATTACAAATGTGATTGTCAGAAAATCAATGCAAACTTTGAATTAGGTTTAGAAAATAGAGCACTAATTTGAGAATCTGCAATAATTGGAACAGAGAACTTGCATGTCTGTAAAAAGGTTGTCAAAAAGATAACTTCACAAAAATTCACATTCATATTTGACTATTTTAAATAACTAATTATGCTTGCTACTGCTATATTGTATGCAGATGCAGGATGCCAGACTGATTTAACGATGGAGGACATCGAGAGGATGGAGGATGTTCTGAGACAGAACACAACAGAGCTGGGAGATCTTCGGACAAAGGCACTGGACACAAAGTTCAACCAGGAGTCCTTTGAGAACAACGAAGAGAAAACAAAGTTTTACACCGGGCTCCCCAACTTCTTAGTTTTACTTCAGGTTTTCAACTGTGCGAGCCCTACATCACCTGTGGCCCTATGTCTGCTCTCCAAATTTGAACAGTTCATTTTAGTTTTGCTGAGGCTGAGACTAAATCTCCCTCTGAAAGATTTGGCTTTCAGGTTCAACATCTCTCTCTCCACTGCTTCTAGAATTTGGCATAAGTTAATTGGCATACTTCACGAGAGTACAGAATTTATAATTGAGTGGCCAGAGCGACATGTACTTCAAGCTACAATGCCAATGGGATTCAGACAGGCATTTGGATGTAGAGTTGCTGTGATTGTTGACTGTTTTGAAGTTTTTATTGAGAGGCCCTCTAATTTACTAGCTAGAGCACAAACATGGTCCAACTACAAGCATCACCATACTGTTAAATTTCCGATTGGTGTTGCTCCCCAAGGCTATGTTACCTACATATCTTGTGCCTGGGGAGGAAGAGTTAGTGATAAACAGATCACAATACAGAGTGGGCTCCTAAAAAACCTGTTACCTGGAGATATTGTCCTAGCAGACCGTGGGTTCGATATTGCCGATAGTGTGGGATTTTACTGTGCTTCACTAAAGATGCCTGCATTCACCAGGGGGAAAAGTCAGCTGTCAGCATACGAGGTGGAAGAGACAAGAAAAATAGCTAATGTGCGTATTCATGTTGAAAGAGTCATAGGATTAGTCAGAAGAAAATATCAGATTCTGCAAAGCAGGGCTGTGCCCATAGAGCACAGCTAACAAAACCAGGTGAGGCACTAGCATTAATTGACAAGATTGGGGTTATTTGCTGTGCCTTGTCTAATCTGTCAGTGTCTGTCGTCCCATTGGAGTAAAGTCATGGAGCTGTAGTCTTGTAAATAAGAAACCATGTATTATTCAGTATCATTTAATCTTTTCAGTAAACATCTTTTTGTGTTCAAACATCTTGTGTTCAAGTCTTTTCAGTAAACATCTTTTTGTGTTGAAAATTGTGTAGCCCTACTCAATATACAACGTTCATCTACATTCAGGCTTAATTCATTCAACAATATTCTAGAGATGACAATTGGTCTGGTGACGCTCCCATGTATGGCCATTGAGGGTTATTGTAAATGTAAATAAGAAACCATGTATTATTCAGTCTTAGTATCATTTCATCTTTTCAGTAAACATCTTTTTTACAATAGCAATATATCACACAGCCCTACTTCCTCTAGTGAGTGTGGTCAGTGAATATGAAGGTGCTGTAATGCAGGTTAAAGAGCTGCCACTGTGCAAATGTTACGTTCCCTTGTAAATATAGGGGTACAAAGGGAAGTAGCGACACACAACATAACCGGCCGAGAGAAAAAGGAGAGGAAACTGATCTCTGACGCCATAAAGTGGTCTTTTAATTAACACAACGAAAAAGGGCTCACCAGCCAACTTGTCAAACAAAGCTTAAGATAAGGGGAGAGCGACTGCAACCTTCCTCATGTCCTATATGGAGGCGCTGATTGGAGATTGGGAGCACCTGGGGAGATCAGAGGGAGAGAGAAAAAGACACCCACACACACCCAAACACCAGCACCCACTACGGCACGTAATAATAATGCAACAAGGAGAGAACCACAACTTCCGGGACCAGGACTGACCACAGGTGCTGGTAATCACGCCTTCTCTCCCTCCTGATCATCTTGCAACTGAAACTGAAAAATGGAACAGCAGACAGGGAGAGGAGGCTTTTAGTCACCTGATAGTTATGCACTAACATGTTCTTGTGGAAAAAAATGAGCACACCAACTCTTTATGACTTTTACCTTTCCCCTTGTAAGTTGCTGTCCCAACACTTCAGGGAGAACACATAGTCTGAAGAAACGCTCAACTCTGGGAATGATGTTGTCCCACAGGTCCACATCACGCACAATTCTCTCTACAAAGAGGTCATTTTTAGTCCAGACAACAAAGTCGCAGTAGTCAACATCAACGAGGTGGAGCTGAGCCTGTATTTGATGGTAGTAGGCATGTCTCCTGTCCAGCTTCACAGTGCCCCCATCGTTGACGAGACAGAAGCCCTGTTCTCCAGCACACAGGCGAAGTTTGGCCTCCTCTTGTTTGCTGTGTGGGCACTAAAAGTTCAATGAAAAGAAAAGTAATATATTGTACTGTAAATAAGTGTCTGCAGCTCAAAATGTATTGGGAGAGGATCCCCAGACTCAGGATCACGTCACAATCCTATACTTACCCGCTTTACTGTAGCACAATACTGAACAAATAACTTACCTTTATCTCACAGATACCAGTTTCATGGCAGGTGCACGTGACACCTCCGTCTGGCGACGCTCCCATGTATGGCCATTGAGGGTTCAGCCAAAGCCCGCTGTCTTTACAGCTGAAACCCTGGTGGTGCAGACTTTGTACTCCTTCATACTGCTTTCGGGCAGTTGCCTCGTATTTGCATCCATACCACACACACACACACACACACACACACACACACACACACACACACACACACACACACACACACACACACACACACACACACACACACACACACACACACACACACACACACACACACACACACACACACACACACACAAACACACACACACACACACCACACACACACACACACACACACACACACACACCACACACACACACACACACACACACACACACACACACACACACACACACACACACACACACACACACACACACACACACACACACACACACACACACACACACACACACACACACACACACACACACACACACACACTGAATATTTTGTGAATCATGTTTTGTAATGATAATGAATTTAGTTATAAGTTACTTGTACTGTAACTTACTGATATACGTGATATAATCAGCGTATACCACGGGTAGAATTGTAAGTTACTTTTCACAACAAGTCGGTATCCCTCCGCGTCTGAGAAAAACTGTATACAGTTTGCTTTTCTGATTGGCTCCCTAATCCCTAATAAATACCTTGTTGCAGCTGTAGAGAACTTGTATGCCTCTGGGTAGCATATGGACTTGATCAAGGACTTTGATGGCTGTGCAAGACTAGTCTGTAGAACCTGCTTCAGTCTTGAGGCTGTGATCCTTCCTGCTCTTTGGCTAAACCATATTGCTGATAAGCTCTGGTTTCTGGTCTCCTCCTCTACTGCCTGGACCTGTGGCTGTGTCAGCTCTTCCTGTCTGAAGTCCTGGCATGCATTCTGCAACTCTGTTGGGGATAGCTGTAGCATCTCTGGTGTCCTATACTGAGGTAGTGGTTTAGGTAGCTTGCTCACAGATTTAGGGACAAATTCTCTGTAATATGGTTCCCTGGACATCAGTGCAGCACTTCTTGGGGAATTTCTGCTCAAAGTCTTGAAAAACTGCATATACCTCTCTGATCCTCGCTCCAATTTTGAACCCTGGACTGTGGGACGCTGAAATGTGTGCTTCTCACCTGTCCTTCCAGCAATGGCATCATCCAGTTTTTGCTTTTTGGATTTTGCGGATGAAAAGTCTATCATCGCAACTGGAGCAGCAGGAATCTGCACATGTGAGAGACAGACCAACATGTATGTGAACATACATGTAGGTGCAGTGTAACAATGAGACAGGCAAGGACGGCATGAACAGCTGACTGACCACTGGGGTCTGAATACCTTTTTGACATGTGATGGCATTAGCCACTTGCACTTCTCAGTGGTGCAGGATGCAGTCTCTCATCTTCACACCTGCTTCGATTGCAAACAGAACTGCTCCAACATGTGAGCAGGATTCTGACAAACTGTATAGACAGAGACATACTAGAATAACTAGATTGATCGTAAAAGCTAGTAATGGTATAACATGAATATTATAGCAGGCATTATTTTGTCTGAGCTTAAGTGTTGTGTCAAATATGCTTTGGGTTGGGATATTTATTTTATGACTTACCCAGCCATACAGTTACAGTGTGCTGTAACAACCTCTCCATCTTCTTTAGCTACAATCCACGTTTTTAATGGTGTTTCTCCAGACCTCTGGGAATGGTTGACCTACACAATTGAAGCTCCAGTTCACAACTTGCGAGTTGGTAACATACATTTAACAACATCACAAGCAACACATAACCAGATGGTCTTGGTAAAGAGGTTGTTTTTAATATTAACCTCAACATAGAGTGATAAACAACGTGCAGGCTGTTCAAAGGCTCTGAGCTGTCTATACACACAAAACACAATATATCCTAAGCTAAACACATAACAAACATACACATATATACACACACAACACACTCACAGGCCAGTTAATGCTGAAGGCAAGGCGACAGCCGTAACACTGCCTTACATGAGTCCATGTAGCTAAAGTCAGCTAGCTAGATGTCTCCTAATAATGCTACTTAGAGGTAAGAAGGTATAGTTAACACTCACCCGGGCAAAAACAAGGCGACATTTGTTTAATGCCTCTTTGGTGCCGAGGTCATTCACCCATCCACACACGAAGTAGTTGAAAGCTTCTAGGCTTTTATACGCTTTCATCTGGCTAGCCGTGTAGTAGGAGGTATGAAGGACGAGGTAGCTGGTGATATCCATCGCCTGGACAGCGGGCAAATCGGATAAATCACGAGAAAAGTCGTTTTTTTTCAGCTGATACAGATCGTATCCGATGTGTGCTGTGATTTGTTCACGATATCTGCGGCGTGCAGGTTCATTTAATTGTTTGACATAGTCGGTGTCCTCCATGATTCCTGCGTTGATGAATGATTGCGTTTTCACTTCCTGACCTCCACTTGAATTTCGCGCGTCATAGAAGTCACGTGACTGAAACCAAGCTATTGTGACATAAACCGTTTTCTACAGGCACATTTTACCGGCGTATTTTTATTATGATTCTACTTGTGATAGTCGGACACGACAACCTGTGCAGCCCATCTATTGATTCCATCCGATAGCTGCTATAATACAAAACAAAATGTCTGCCTCTCTCCACAATGATCAATAACAGTGAACGGATGGTCAAAGTAAGGTACAAATAAACAGAATCACACGAAGCCTGGTTAGTCTTGCCTGACTTTATAAAGTGTGTTTATAAGCACTACTGCTTGTCGGCAGGCATGACAGTCGACCCATGTTCAGGGGAGGTGGGTTTAGTTTCCTGCACACCTCGACGTAAGAGAGACGTAAGCGACGCCACCTCTTAGCTCCGAAGCTCTTGCCTCTAGACCAGGGGTGGGGAACCTTTTTCCTCTCAAGGGCCATTTCAATTTTTACAATATCCTCAGAGGGCCGTACAAATTATTGACCTATTAAAAAAACTAAAATCACAGCCCATTCATTTCATTCTGTGCAAAGAAAAAGCAACCTCTTAATCCAGATATCTCACCATGACTCGCGTATGCATGCACGGTGTGGCATGACCACCAAAACACAAATATATGGACACAAGATGTTTGCAAATGTATTTAGTTTCCTATCCATGTGAACATGATTTAAGTGGGGGGGGGACCTAACCTCCTCCAGCACCCCCGGGAAGATTTTTTTTTAAATGTTGAAGTTAAAAGCATCAATCTGCTGCACTTTGAGAGCAACATTAGGAGATCTATGGATACATCTCTCAACACCCAGATGAAACAGAACTGGAAGCAGATTTATTTTTCTTTATGAATATTTGACTAATCACTCCCCTTTCAAACTGTATTCTTCTTTATTAATAACAACTTTTGTTTACTGTCATATAGTATTTTATACCTGTTTACTTTATTCTCTTGTTCTCTTGTCAACTATAATGATCATATAAAGATGTGCCTTTACCTCACTGGTTGTAGAAAAAGCTTCTTATATTCGTTAGCATAGCTAGCTAACCAGATGCTAATAACAACAAAGTTATTGACTGTATGATCAGTATGACCGATGAACGCCACTGGGCTTACAACTAAGACACAGCCACGCAGAAACTGCGGCATGTGTACGGCTCCTTATGGGTACTGCAATTTGTGAAGTGCTGGAGCAGCGTTCCGGTGCTCTCCGTCAGAACTGCTCCTGTCAGTCGAGACATATACCACGTGATGACACGTTAGGCTCGTGTTGTGTTCAAGGACCCTGACCGGAAAAACAGGCACTCGCGTGTTTAATTTTTTTGCAGTCTAGATTTCTTACATTTTCTTCTTTTTTGCGTCTGTTTATAAATTACCTCGAGGGCCGTACCAAATTGTCTTCGCGGGCCGTATACGGCCCGGGGGCCGGAGGTTCCCCACCCCTGCTCTAGACCGACAATTTTTTGGAGCTGGAAGTGAACCGGATTCTGGAGCTAAGAGCCGGCGCCGCTGCGGTGTGAACAGGAAAAAACCGGCGCTTTTCAGGCTCCAGCTCCAAGCCGGAGCTGAAAAAGCGCTGGTGTGAAAGGGGCATCATAGACGTAAACTGATGGGAGACACGTGGTTTATGTTTTTTTTAATTGGTGGGTAGATCCTTAGTGATTTCTCGATGTCCATTGGTCATTTCAGACCATGATGGCTGCCGGCTGAGATTTCCTTGACGGACACACAAATCCACCAATCCCACACAGTGTAAAGTCAAGCTGCTTTGAGCGGCCATATTGGCTGCAGTGCCCTGGTTACAGTCTCACAGGAGATACCGCTGGAAAGCTACTCTTCCAGCGATTCCACGGATATCGGAATCATATTTCTACTCCTTATAATCGAAAATATATGATTAATTACGTAAAATTACTCCAGAGGGTTAATATCTAATAATAAAAATAATGAAATTCAATAACATGCTTTAACCACTAGGTGTCCCTTTATATCAGCTGTGCACCTTTATGGTGTAAATACAGCCTATCTACCAATTGGATCAAATATAAAAGTCAGCCGAATTAGTGTTGATACTGCAAGGAGACGTATTGTGTGAAAAGAAATGTAAGATGTTGTTTAATGGCTGATATATTTATGATCCACGTCACGTTTTCAGTTCCTCATGTTTGTCTAGAAGTCTTCTCATCAGGGCTCTATAAATACAGAACTACGGCAGATATGTAATATTTAATGCAGCCGAACCGTGTATTACAATGCCGTTATGTGATGACTTTCAAAGAGAAAGCAAGCACACTCGGAATAAAGTATTATTATTATTTTTAAAAATGTTTTCGGTCTGTTTCCGGTATTTGTTAATGACGATGTGCTGTGAGATGTGAGACTGGAATTGCACAGGGGAAAATAACGTATCTTTAGATGCGGATTTTGTTAAACTAATACGTTTGCGCTGTGGATCAACACTATACATTGACGGGGAAGGGGGTAGCAATAAAGATAACACCATTAAACAGTTACACAACATAACAGAAATAATATCGATAGCAGCGTCCCTAGCAACCACCTTGGTAACAATGAAAACGTTCTATGGACGCAATTTCCTGAAGTAATCTTCATAATAACTAGCAAACTAAAGATAATGTACATCCACTGCACACATAATCTGAAATAACAACTCATATTTCTCGCATCAAATGACATCAAAATGAATTTTAATGGCCAAACTAACTTTAAAATAGGCATTTTCCACCGAGAATAAAACGAAGTTCGGCCATGTTTTTTTTTTCTGCAGGGAGAAATTTGAAGATCACGTGACATAGACGCCAGCCATTGAAAAGAATGGTGAAAAAAAACGGGGTTTGTCAAACAGAGCACATGGTGTAGTCCAAACGATAGCTGGGGATTCTGGGTAGTGTAGTGTCTTCTGCCATCCTTTTGTTACGGTGTGCAGGAAGCAGGACCCAAATGCAGATTAGAGTACAAATAATTCCTTTATTTCAAGGCTAGATATACACAAAGACAGAACAGGACACTCACCGAAGACCACGTCAACACACAAGACGAACCGACACTGAACACAGGAAGAGACAAGACTAAATACAGGAAAGGGTAATCACAAGACGAGACACAGCCGGGCAGGGGAGGAGAAACACAAAGGCCACAGGTGAAAACAATCAGACAACTAGACACACCAGGGAAACTAACGACGGGAGGAAAAACACAGGAAGAAGGACCAGACAATATACAAGGATGAAAATACCCATAACCAGACATACAAAACTACAACACAGACATATCCTAACAGTACCCCCCCCCTCAAGGGACGGATCCCAGACGTCCCAAAACAAAACCACAAAAAGTCCAAAACCACAAGCAGGGTGGGTGGAGGGGGTCCGGAGGAGGGACGTATCACCAGGCCACCAGGGTGGGTGGAGGGGGACCGGAGGAGGGACACAAAACTAGGGCCAACAGGGTGGGTGGAGGGGGTCTGGAGGACGGGCTTGGGCTGACAGTCCAGGTGCAAGTCAGAGCTTGAAAAGGGGGTTATGGAGGGGCGAAGGCAGTGGTAGGAAGAGTCAGGGGGCCGGGCCCGAGGGTGAGGACCGCGGCACTCAGGGGACAGGGCTCGAGGGCGAAGACCGCGGCTCTCAGGGGGCCGGGCTCGAGGGCGAAGACCGCGGCTCTCAGGGGGCTGGGCTCGAGGGCGAAGACCGCGGCTCTCAGGGGGCCGGGCAAACCGGGCAGAACCCGGTGTCGGCCGGACAGGAACCGGCGCTGGTGGGACAGGCCTCGGCAGGATCCCCCACGGAAGAGGACCAGGAGTTGGCAGGACCCCCGCCAGGAGGGCAGTCGGCAGGACCCCCAACGGGACAGGACACAGGATTGGCAGGACCCCCGGCAGGAGAGCAGTCAGCGGAACCTCCAACAGGACAGGACACAGGGTTGACAGGACCCCCGGCAGAAGGGCAGTCGGCGGGTCCCCCAACGGGACAGTACACAGGGTTGGCAGGACCCCCGGCAGGAGAGAAGTTCGCGGGACCTCCAACAGGACAGGACACAGGGTTGGCAGGACCCCCTGCAGAAGGGCAGTCGGCGGGACCCCCAACGGGACAGCACACAGGGCTGACAGGACACCCGGCAGGAGAGTAGTTCGCGGGACCTCCAACGGGACTGGACATGGAGCCGGAAGGACCCCCAGCGGAACCTCCATCGGCATAGGACATGGGATTGGCAGGACCCCCGGCAGGAGAGTAGACGGCGGGACCCCCAACGGGACAGGACATGGGATTGGCAGGACCCCCGGCAGGAGAGTAGACGGCGGGACCTCCAACGAGACAGACATGGAGTTGGCAGGACCCCCAGCGGAACCTCCAACGGACCAGGACATTGGGTAGGGACTTGAGACGTGACTCAAGTAGGGACTCGAGAGGAGACTCGAGAGGAGACTCGAGAGGGGAACCAAGGGGGAACTCGAGAGTGGAACCAAGGGGGAACTCGAGAGGGGACTCGAGAGGAGACTCGAGAGGAGACTCGAGAGGGGAACTAGAGAGGGGACTAGAGGAGAGACTAGAGGAGGGACTAGAGGAGGAACTAGAGGAGGAACTAGAGAAGGGAACTCGAGAGGGGACTTGAGAGGGGAACTAGAGAGGGAACTCGAGGAGGGACTAGAGGAGGGACTAGAGGAGGGAACTCGAGAGGGGACTGGAG